AGTAATTTATTGCGAAAAAATCACTTACATAATTATAGCAATTATATTTTATACTGCCAATAAAACAGAATATATTGAAGCATTTTTGAACTTAAACTTCAACGAGTATAATTATTACAAAAAGTTGTACATAAATATATTACAATATTAGTCCCAGGTTTAAAATAGCATCTGTTTCAATTACGAAGTATTGTAAGTCGGTTGTTTTAATAAAGAAAATACGCAAACTATAATCTAAATCCTTGCCCTAAACCCCTCACAGAAATAAGAAGAGACCTGAGCCCAGCAGTGGGACGTGTATATGCTGCAACTTAAACTTTTTTTAACTTTGAAAATGTAAGTATGGAATTAGGCAGTAAATTTATATCAAATTTTGCGAACACTAGTGTTACAAAGACTATTATTTGGACCCGAGACTATCAATAAAACACGTTTGGTAATAAAATCGTATAGGACATATCAGCAGCCTTCTTAACCGATTCGTAGCGGCACCAATTTTCGTCAACTTTTAGCAACAATATTGCACGACACGCCTATTGTGCCATCCGCCATGTGTAAAAGTAATGTTCTTTTTTATGCTTTTTTTACTAGTTTAGACCTAATTAAGTTTATTTGAGGTCAAACATAAGTTACTAAATGAAAGGATGGAGGAGGAAAAATAGAAGGATACTTGTTTTTAGTGGGTAACTACGTGTTTTTTTACGCGTTTTCTTTGAAATTGAGATTAAGTGACTTTTTTTATGAAAAGATTACAAACCTTTTGTACTATTTTTTGTTGTTATAAAAAATCATTTATATAAGTAGGTACAGCTAAATCACCCTGGAAACCTTGGTTTTTATTAAATTAAATTTTCACCTAATAATAACATTTGTAAATATCAATCAATGATAATATCATTCATTGATATTTACAAATGTTAAATATTATTTAATGTTATACAAATGTAAAAGTAAAGTCGATCTGAAAACGTCTAATTAGTAAGAATAGCAAAACAAGTGTTTTCAAAAGGAAAAAAACGCCGGCGCTATACGGCGGCGGATTGACAAAAGACTATTAATTAGCGAACTTTTTTTATGCATGAACGGTTTCGAACTGTTTCAAGCAAAAATAAACCTTATACCATATCACAAGAGCTCATGGTACTTCGTAGGTCTATTTGGCCATATGATAGTAATAAGACGGCAGTTCAACCATTATAAGCAAAATTAAACAATAAGACAAACGCATTGTTTTTTTAACAGGAGACTTGTTTTCCACAAATTTATTTAGAACTTGAGTTTGTGAGCGATCGCAATGAGTGCTATTATTTGTTACTTATTAGACAATTTTTCCATAACATGATTTAAAATTTAAACCCACAAAGTAAAAATAGTACCATGTACACGTTAAAAAAAGGTTGTCAAGCCGTAAAAATTTCAAATTTTCAAAATATCCAGAAACGAAGCTGCATGCATGAGCTACTCGCAAAATAATGAATATTTTGTTCAGGATAAATTTTTCAAAAAAAGCTATTTGAGCGAGTTATAAGGATTTTTAAAAAGCCACGACTCGCGTGTCATATATACTGATCCGGTTAAGTCCACCGCTGGACATAGTGTTCATTTAAACAAGCACCCCATATCATCACTACCCCATATCATTCCGTGGGTGTAGTAAGAGGCTACAGAGGGGAAAAAATCAGGAGATGGTAATAATAATACCGACTAAATATAAAAATAAAAATGTGGTTGCCAACCCGCTTGTCAAGCGTGGCAACTATGGCAAATATCCCCCTATGAGGCAATCTCGCAGCAAACGTAGGAGGCCTATGTTCAGCAGTGGACTTTAAAAGTCTGTAACGCTATGCTTAACCTTTAGGTGTGACAAAATCAGCCCTCTGTCACTAGGTTACTGCTCCATGAGAAACTTCACTAAGCGTGAATCTTACGGTTCAGTAATCGCGACGGCATATTTTTTTTATAGAATAAGGGTGACAAACGAGCACACAGTCCACCTGATGGTAAGTGGTTGCTGTAACCCATAGACATCTACATTTATCCTCGATTACGAATCAAAATGGTGATGCGTTGTCACCCGTGAGGACTAAGTTTAAGAGGCCTCGTTTACAGTAAAAAGGGTCTCCGGTTCTCTACACTCACCATACGAAACACAGCAGCGTTAAGCTGCTATTTTACGCTGGTATTCTGTGAGTGCGTGGTCCTTCCCCGGTCGAGCTAACCCATTCGTGTTACAACTATACCAGAAATATAGCTGCAGCATGGCTCTCCCACGTAAAAAAAGTTTCTATAAAGGCATATGTCATAAATTAATCACCTCTGAGATACTCATATAACACTCACGCTTTTAAACGCAGTGCCGGGCGGGCATTATAGCGCAACACATAAAAATGTTACGAGGAGTTATCAAACGGGCGCAGTAAACCCGGTCTCGTCGGCGATGACGCTATAAACTGCCCGCCGGAGCTATCTCAATCCACAGTTGCGCTGATCCAATTATCACTCAGGATTATAATGAAGGCTACGTTTGAAGTTATTAATTGTACTCGGTTAACATGATCGTTGTGGATTTGTAGTTTTCTTTATTACCAAATAGATATAATTGGTGATTAGCGAAGTTGTTGACGAGTATGTTTACCTGGGACAAATAGTCCGACTAGGTAAGGCCAACTTTGACCGAGAGATCAATCGACGGATTCAACTCGGCTGGGCAGCGTTCGGGAAACTACGACACATCTTCTCGTCAGACATACCTCAAAACCTTAAAACGAAATTGTACAACCAGTGCGTGTTGCCAGTGTCGACTTACGGATCTGACACGTGGTCCTTCACTGCTGGCCGCTCCAGGTCGCTCAGCGAGCTATGGAGAGGACTATGCTCGGGGTTTCTCTGCGTGATAAACTTGGAAATGAGGTTATCCGCAGTAGAACCAGAGTAACCGACATAGCCCAACGGATTAGTAAGCTGAAGTGGCAGTGGGCCGGCCATATAGCTCGAAGAACCGATAACCGATGGGGAAGAAAGGTTCTCGAGTGGCAGCCCCGTACCGGTAGGTGAAGTGTAGTGCGACCCCCCACGAGATGGAGTGACGACCTGGTAAGACATGCAGGAAGTCGATAGATGCAGGTGACTCAGGACCGTGCTTTGTGGCATTCCTTGGGGGAGGCCTATGTTCAGCAGTGGACTTGTGAAAGGCTGTAATGATGATGATGATAATTGGTGGTAAGATTTATTTTCTGCCTAGAAGTACCTCCGGATAGGTACTACCGTCTTACCTTTTTCTACCGCCAAATTACACTGCTTGCGCTGCCTTGTACCGATTGGAGGGCATAGAGAGCCAGTATAATATAATAGGCTGTGACGCTCTCTATCTCTATCTTCAGAGGTGTCAACGCATTTATAGCTTGCGTGTGTTCTTTGTTTGAAATTGGCTGCAGGTGTCATGGCCACACTTGCTAGGACTGTAAGTTAGTTTTCCACGTCAGTTTTATAAAAAAAAAAAGTATTTCATCATTAGTTTGACTAAGTTAATTATGTTTTTTGTATTAAAGCACGAAACAAATAATGTTGTTAGGTTAAGTTATAAAAAAAAACGATATGAGATCTCTATCGCTACCATAGTACAAAAGAAAGTCGCTTCCCGCCGTCTGTACGCTTAGATCTTTTAAACTACGCAACAGATTTTCATTCGGTTTTCATTAATAGACAGAATGATTCAAGAGGAAAGTTTATATGTATAATACATGCATATTATATGTTATGTAATTCTTCTGTGCGTGTGTATGTGACTGAACAACTCCTTCTAAACGGCTGGACCTATATTGATGAAATTTTGTGCGTGTGATTAAGTTGATTAGAGAATGATTTAGATTCACAATTGACCCGGTAGGTAGCGTTGTCGAGATTCAGAAATAAATCGCGCGAATCCGGGGCGGATCGCTCGTAAATAATAAATTAAAAATTGATGTTGCATATTATCCACGACGATGAAATTGTAGAATACCGAATTTGTAGAAAGCTGGTTTTCCAAGTGTTATTAAAATTGTCTTTTAATCACAAAATATCTAGCACTCGCAGCTTAGTATTTTGCTTACATAGTGAATATGCTAGAGCATATTACTATGAATAAAGTGCTTATGGCTGTAAAATGTAATAAATATGCATAGCTTTGGCACTAAACATGCGCCCTGTATAAGTTTATACAACGCGCCGTGAGAAGACCGAGCTAATCCACGACATTTTATGACTAATTTATGACTATTGCCTTTCCAAATCGGTTATAACTTCTTACGATATGAATTTCTATAAAGGAATCATTTTAAATGGATTTGTTCATTTAAGTCTTTTATGGCTTCGAGTTAATTTTTATTACAACTGAGCGTCCTCGGTTGATCGTTCTGTTAACGGAAACGGTTATTAATTTATCTACCTTGAGTGTCTGATCAAAATTCGTCGAGTGATAATATTATATTATAATGTGATGTACAAATTATTGTCCATAAATATTTTTATTTCTTCACGTTTATATTTTATGTGGGAACAGAAAATACTATTCGAAATGACTTCTATTCTATTCTACTTAAAAACTTGTATTCAAACATTTTGTAGAAGAAACAGACGTGATATAAAATTGATATTACCTTTAAACAAAAATTTATTCTACAGTTGTAAGCTCAATTAGGGTTGACTTCAGGGTTCACAATTAAAATTTTTAACTAAATTTGAACTTGTTTCTTAACGATATTTCACAAATAATGCAAAAAGATAGCAAATGCAAATTTTTTACAACAATAATCAAATCTGCTCATAATAATCAAAACTTTTTATTGTGATTCACGTGATGGTTAAAAATATATTTGGGTTTCACAAAGCCCGCACACAAGAATATTTTGTTATTTGTGATGTGTAAGAATGTAAGAGTGAGTGGTCGGTGGTTGTTGCAGGGCTACAATGGTGTGTGCGTGTGCGGCGCTGCGGGGGGCGGGCGCGGCGAGCCGGCGCGCATGGCGGCGCCAATGAGGGAGGGCGCGCCGGCCGGCGGAGCTCGCCCCGCGCCCCACGCGCACCCCGCCAACTTCGAGTACGATGACAACGAGTGGGACATCGGCATCGGCGACCTCATCATAGACCTCGATGCCGACATAGAGAAGACCGACGAGGCGGGCGGCATGGCGGCGCGCGCCGAACCGGACGCGCAGCGCACCGCGCTCAAGATGAAGATCAAGCGCACCAAGCCTGGCACCAAAAGTTCCGAGGCGAAGCACGAGATCGTCAAGTCGAACGAGATGAACGGCGAGCCGAAGTCGCCGGCCGCGGCCGCCGCGCCGCCCGCCGCCAAGCGCGGCTCCGGTGGCCACCGGCGCGACAAGGCGCGCGAGAAGCACCACCACCCTCACGCCCCGCACCCCCCGCACGACCTGAACGGCGTGGCGCGCGTGCCGCCGCCGCCTAACGCGCCCGGGCCGCCCGCGCCCGCGTCCGCGTCCGCGCCCGCGCAGCCGCCCGCGCCCGTGCCCGCGCCCGCGCCTGCGCCCGCGCCCACACAGCCCGCGAAGCCCGAGCAGCGCCCGCCCGCGCCGCGCCTCGAGCCCAAGCCGGCCGCGCCTGCGCCGCCGCCCGCCTCAGCGCCCGCGCCCGTGCCCAGCGCGACACACGCACCGCTGACCACACACACGCCCCATACCCCACATGCGCCTCATGTGACACATGCACCACATGCGACCCACGTGACACACGCGCCCTCTCCCAGCGCCAAGCCGGAACCTGATGACTCGCGGCAGGAAGCGCCCACGGGGCAGCCTGCAGCAAAGAAACAAAAAACCGAAACCAAGGTAAGCTTCGTGTAACTTATCCTATCCTTATAACTAACTAACTATCAATGCCGAGTCGCCAAACTGATCTAATGATAAAATATGTTTTCTAGTAAAATAAAATTGTACAAGCTTAACAGATTTTCGTTATGAATCAAATGCCAGGGAGGACAAAATGTAATTATAATGACCCAATATTAGGTAATTTTTATAAAACAATTCATACATAAGTTCGGAATGTAATTATGAACTACAGTCACGATAAGATATATTTTAGACTTGTTCTTTAACCACAACCTCAATTTCTTATACTACAACAACAACTAAACTGTCGCCTTATATTATCAGTATACGTCCAGATGTAAAAGATAAGTTTCAAATTACTTCCTTGTATAACACGTTACAAAGCTGTACTTAAATATAATCACATCATAACGTCTTCTAGCGTAACATACACTTATCGAGAGACCTTGATCTAGATCTATATTTGTCGACAATTGACGTGGCCGACTCTACGAGTATGAGTAGAACGTACTTCAATCACTCGTTCGTATTTATCAATAAAAATAATCGGCCACTGATATTCCGATTGCTATTATCGCCCGCGTATCCGATTGTGTTAGCCTAGTGTATTTAATTGTCCGGACTTAGAGCTATAGTTTTTACATTTATCAATAACAATAATTACTTTATAGTCCGGTTATAGTCCGGTTGTTCTTATCGCCCGCGTATCCGATTGTTTTAGGCTGGTGTATTTAATTGTCCGGACTTAGTGACTTAGGGCTCTAGTTTCTATATTTATCAATAACAATAATCTGCCACTAATAGCCCGGTTGCTCTTATCGCCCGTGTATCCGATTGTTTTGGGCTAGTGTATTTAATTGTCGGGGCTTAGGGCTGTTTGCGAGCTTGATTGAGTGCAAACGCTCGTGGGGTGTAATCCGCGCCTGTCGCCCACCGCATCGGTTCATTAAATCTCTCCACCGTTCCCCCACGCTCGTAGCCTCCGGACGCCCGAGCATAACAGTACCCGCTGCCGTATACAAATTAATGCTATTGTGGTTTCCGTGGCTAATAATAATAAACTTTGTCACATCTATGCAAATGCCTGCAAACAATTGGATTAGGACAAATATGCATCGGCCTAAAGATATTTTTATAAAAAGATACAGAATATTATTATTGCGTTCTACGTGAGGTTGATGCCTCAGCACTCTAGTGTAAAATAGCAACGTATTGTGTAATGCAATGGTCGTTTCGTTCTACTAGCTTATTGATTCTTTCAACCTATTGTCATAACCATAAAATAAATGTAAAATGTTGTAATGCTTACAAATTACTGTTTGTAGAATTAGTTAAGTATATGTTTTGTAAACTTAATATCAACCAAAGCCAAATGACGTAGTATTATCCTCAGCTAACTGCATCAAAATCCCACGAACTCATCACGATTTACCGCAACGAATGTCCATATTATACTTGTCGACGCTTCGATGATTTGTGGCAATTGAATATTACACTGCATAGACTAAAATGTAAATTGACGAGTAATTTAGGATAGGGGATAGTCTCCCTATTGCTTTTCTTAACATTATTTGCTTTAGCGAGGGGAGCGTAAGCAGTCAACGCGCTGCCTTCAAAATTTATTTCATTAATCACTGTCAAGTGGTTTAAAAATTCTAAAGCGCTTACGAAATCAATTACACGCTCACTCCCCAGCTGGAAATATTTATAAAGTCTAGTTTTTAAAGAGAATGATATTCGTTAACGCTTTTAGCACTTGTTTCATATTATGTTTTAAATAAGTAATTTTAATTATTAGCAACTGTAGCTGTCTCATCATTACAATAATACTTTCGTCCATTTGGGATCGAACACTCAATAGATCTATTACTATTATCTCTATTGTCTGCGCTCCTAACATATAAACTGTCGCTAAATACACTATTATTATTACGGTCTTTGAAATAAGGGTCGCACCCTTGTCAATAAAATGTTTTTGGATTCTAAACACGACTATTTAATCCTACAAAGCGAATTCAAGCAAATATTCGTGACTCTATTGCTTTGGAAAGGGATCTGGCACGACGACTCTTTTATTGAGCGTTTTATGATTTCTAATTTAAAAATATTGTATTATAAAAGGAATAATAAATAGTATTTTGAAACTTCTTTCGATTCGATGTCGAGTATTTTCAAAGTGTGAAACGATTTTCTTCTGTCATACAAAGAATTAAATTCTTTCTGTCACTCTGCCTACTGCACCACTGTAACATATTATTATATAACTTTTTTTTAATTTATTGTTCTATACATTCATTACTCATAGTTTTAGATTATATAAATAGTATTATTCGAAATTATTTAAATTCTGCTTTGTTTTTGTTCTCTATTTAAAGAAGAGATTTTTTTCACGTATTACGTACGTAATTTGCATTTTGTAAGGTAATTTGTTTTTTATTCATTTTGTCACGCTCGTTAGCTTTCGTGTTAACGTTTCCATTTCTACAAATTAAATAACTTTTATATAAAAAGTTTAGGAGAACGGTCGCACTTAGTTTTTTTAAAAACATTGAATAAGATTTCCAACGGAATGACCAGGGCGCCATAATGTTTAACATGTTCACGTCATCTCGAATGAGGTTAATAGCAGCATCGCGGTCGATTATACTGATCGTTCTGAATAAATTTACATATTGATTGCTGACTGATTGGTGTTCCCTCGACTCCACTAGCCGGTATCATGAATTAAAAGCACTCTCAACTTATTCAAGTATTTATTCCGTATATTCAGGGAAAAAGTCAATGGAGAATATTGTTTTTTATTTTCAAACTTGTGATCAATGGACAAAAGTAAATACACAATACACACGAAATAAACACACAATTGAGTTGTTATTTGTCTTACTTGAGATTAGTTTCGTGAAGCAGCTTCAATATTCTTGAAACATTCAGACAATTTTTCGCTTCAATGACTTTATTTACATCAGAGAGCGGACGCGTATCATGTTACCTGCCTCGAGCGTTTCACCATTCATTTCACGAAACGTTATTGCTTTGGCCAAAACGTCGGAATCGCTCAACCGTGTCACAAATTAAAATTTCAATTTTCAATACTCACAGTAATTGTATGATGCATTAAGATAAAATGACTCCCGCACCCGATAGTAAAACGCCTCGTATAGGATCGGGGAACGATCAAAATAGTGATTGCACAAGTGCCATTCGATAATTATTTTAAGCCCATCGTAGCAATGGGAATGTGAATGGCGGTGTAAAAAAAGATCGTAAAATCGTCTGCGATATTTTTTGTTACTAGGTATTAAATATTTTATTGGAAATGCTTCCAAATTTACTTTCCATCAACTTTATGACCAAAAGGATAGTTCAGAATTAAAAATGTATTAACTTGCAATTAACGGTTTTTTTTAATCATTAGAAAAATATAGTGTGTATTCTTGCTAAATAGTCTTTAACTAAACGGAAATGTATCCAATTTTTTTAAACTTATTTCTTACTTTTATAATAATTATAGTTTATAAATATAAATAAAATACAACTTATAAACAAATGAAATTAAAACATAAAAACTTGTAAACTAAGTAAATTAAATGAAAAAAGTGTTATACAAAATTATACAGTATGTAGCTTTACCTAAGTTAAGCTTAAGTAAAAAATACTGAATCGCCGCCGTCTGTTGGTAGTGTGCCCAACAGATATCATATTTTTATAATATTTGAAAGTAAACAAATGGGTTTAATTAATTAAGTGTAATTAGTTGAGTGTATTAGTGTGTCAGGAGGAATATATTAATTATTGTTAAAATTTAGACTTTGCCTTATGTCCTGCATGTGATATCTACGATGAGGATGGCGGTGATGTGTTTGTCTTTTTTCCACTAAAATATATGTGTATCTATTATCTATAAATGTCGAACATAATATCATGATGATGCATATTATTAGAGTTGAAACGGATATCCGGTAACTATCCGGTATCCGGCCTATCCGGCCCAAATTACTATCCGGCCGGATACCGGATAGCAAACTGCTATCCGGCCGGATACCGGATAAAAAAATACAAAATATCAAATTTAGTTAAGTACTTTATTTATGTCACTTAACAAATAGAATCAGTATAATTACAAAATTTTCATTTTAAATCTTAGAAATTTAGTACTCGTACTGCACTAAGGGGAAATTATGGTGAATAAATACTAGTTTCTCTGCATTGAAAGGTAGCAAGCGGTTTCGCCTGTCTTCATAAACAAGGCCAGCTTCAGAAAAAAGTCTTTCGCTGTACACACTGCTGCAGGGTGCTGAAAGATAGATTTTGGCAAACTTCGATAAATTTGGATATTGTGTAGCATTAGATGCCCACCAAATATAAGGGTCACGATCGCGAGCAATTCGCACTGACTTTAGATACAAATCAATTTCACATAAAATCGCGTTTCTTTCTTCATGATGAGATTGGCTAGTATTATTTTCATTTCCTACTTCATTGAAGCAATCCCAGAACGTGTAATGAGCTTCGCGAGATACAGCTGACACTGTCTCCTCTACTCTACTTTTTTTAGCCGGTGTTGACGATGAACTGGAAGACTCCTCGCTAGACATTTTTAAGTACTCCAGTAGAATTTCCTGGCGAGCTCTTTCAGCTTCAACCACTCCCAAGTAGTTTGTTTTGAATCTCGGGTCTAGATAAGTAGCAATCAAGTAGTTAGAGTCTTGATTTAAGCAGTTAAAACGACTCTCTAGTTCAGCTTTTAACGAGGCCCGCATGTGTGGTAAATCCGGCGTTCTTTGCTCAATTTCATCTTTATCTAAATACTTTTTTAAAGCAGTAACGTGTGGTATAACTTCCGATACGCAGGACAGACCAGAACTTGTTATTTTGGTTATTTCTTCAAAAGGTTTCAATATATTTATATTATAGTTGAGCCGTCAAATTAGTGAGTGTATCATGATCAGCAAGAAACAATGATATGGCCCTCTTTTGTTCTAACAGACGCTCCATTA